CGAGCCCCACGTCGGGCTCCCTGCTCAGCAGGGAGTCTGCCTCTCCCTCTCCCTCTGTCTGCCGCTCTGCCTACTTGTGCTCTCTCTCTCTCTGTCAAATAAATAAATAAAATCTTTAAAAAAAAAATAAACTTTGGGATTAAATAAAAAAGCTCTGCACAGTGAAAGAAACAATCAACAAAACTAAGGCAACCCATGGAATGGGAGAAGATATTTGCAAATGCCATATCTGATAAAGGGTTAGTATCCAAAATCTATAAAGAACTTATCAAACTCAACACCCAAAAAACAAATAATCCAATTAAAAATGGGCAGAAGACATGAACAGACCTTTCTCCAAAGAAGACATTCAGATGACCAACAGGCATATGTAAAGACGCTCAATGTCACTCATCATCAGGGAAGTACAAATCAAAACTACCGTGAGATATCACCTCACACCTGTCAGAATGGCTAACATCAACAACACATGAAACAACAGGTGTTAGGGAGGATGTGGAGAAAAAGGAACCTTCATGCACAGTTGGTGGGAAATGCAAACTGGTGCAGCCACTCCGGGAAATGGTATGAAGGTTTCTCAAAAAGTTAAAAATAGAACTACCTTACAATCCAGCAATCACACTATTGGGTATTTACCTAAATAATGCAAGAACACTAATTCAAACAAAACAAACAAAAACAAACCAAAAAAACAAGAACACTAATTCAAAGGGATACATGCACCCCTACATTTATAGCAGCATTATTTATAATAGCCAAGATGTAGAAGCAACTCAAGTGTTCATTGATTGATGAATGGTATTTATACCATTTTAAAGTCCTTATTCCTCTGTCTTCGCATTTACCTTTGGACTATGTGGTAGTCCGTTTTCAATGGTATCCCTTAAATATCACCTATTGCTTATATAACAGTTAATGAGCTTTTTCAACTTTCTTCTTCCCCTTTCTCTCTTCCTTATTTTAGGGCATTGCTTCTAGTTTTTTTTCAGAACAAACAACACATAACATGTGTTATATTCATATTAAAAAGTATTGTTCTATCATCATCCCAAACTTGCTCTTGTCTTAGATCTGCAATCAAATGTATTAAATATTTACCATCAGTATTTATAATGGTGTTCCTGCAGTTCTCTTTATTGCATGAAGTTCATTTTCTAGTATATTCATCAAAAGTGGTTTATAAATAAAGAATTCCTTGAGCTCTTCACATTCTTAAAACTGTTTTCAATAGCCTTGATACTTGCAGGCATGCTTGGTTGGGTATAAAATCATCATTTCAGCTTTTTGTTCCTTAATATCTTGAAATGTTGCTTCATGCCTTGATCTATAAGTTGTGTTTGAGAAGTCTTATGTCAGTCTAATTCTTTTTTTAACTTATTAGTCCCTTTTGCCTTTTCTGAGCTTGTATCTATATCTGTAATTATCATTCGTTCTTTTAATTACTTCTGTATTATCTGCTACTTCCTACCCACCAAAAGTAAGTAGAGACCTTGTATGTTTACTTCACCATAATATTCCAGCACTTGGAACAGTAGCTCGCACATAGTATCCATGATAGTGTTTGATTACAAAAGTTTTTAATTTTTATGCAGTTTATTTTTTGTTGTTTCCTATGCTTTTGGTGTCATAACTAAGAAATCATGGCTGCATCCAAAGTTGTAAAGACTGCCTCCTATGTTTTCTTCTAAGATGGCTATTTTATGGAGTTTAAAATATATTTATAATAAAAGTTTATGATGATAATGTGAAATATTGTATTCAAATGGCATGAAGGAGACTTCTAGGGTGCTGTGAATTTCTGTTTCTTTATTTGAGTGCTCTTTACACAGGCCTGTTCTCTTTGTGAACATTTAAAAAGCTATACACTTACCATTTGTGATCTTTTCTATATGCATGTTATATTTCAAAAAAGGTTATTCAAACTTTCTTCCAAAATAAAACAAAACAAAAATAAGAAAATAACACATAAAATAAAATAAACTGGGCAAGGAGAGTACAAGAAGAGAAATTGTAGCCAAATTTTACTTATAAAGATAGATTCAAGAATTCTAAAATAATTAGAAAATTTATTTCAGCAGTTTATTAAGACAAACATAACACTACTAAAGAAGGACTTTCCCAGGAAGGCAAAGTGTTTAACAATGAGAAACAAGAGAAGAAAATTAGTTTGGGAAAATTTGTACGGTGACATCGATGAGTGCAAATTGAATTTAAAACAATCTAAAACAAATGGAGCATAATGTTAAGGCTTTATAAGTTTAGACAATAACTACACAGGTGGTTATTACATTGTTTTCTACTTTGTTTTATATGTTTGAAATATTTCACAATAAAATACAGAAGAATTTCCCACAAATTATAATTTATACATAAGATACATTCTATTACTGGAATAGAAAAAAAATCAATTGATATTTCAGTAGATGCATAAAAATTTTCAATAAAGTAAACACTTACTTTTGGTAAATTCACTCTGCCAATGAGATATATAAGAAGTCCTTTAATTTTATGAGGCAAATATGCCAAATTCTACAGTGCATATAATACCAACTATTTGGATTATAGAGGCATTTTGATTAAGATGAAGAACACAGAAAGGATGCTTATTATCTTTTTTCCCATTCAACCTTATCTTGGAAGTCTGAGCCAATGAATAAGACAACACAATAAAGAAGAAATAGGTGATATAAGTATTGGAAGGAAATAAACATCTTTTCTGCAGACAATATGTTTTCCTCCAAGGATAACCTAAGAGAGTATATAGATGAATTATAAGACCTAAAATAAGAGTTTAGTAAAGTTTCCAGATACAAAAATCAACAACTTTACACCAATAACAGGCAACTAGAAAATATTATAAAATATTTCAATTCACAAAAGCACAAAACTGCGAGTTACCTATGAATCAACCTAACAAAAGATCTCTCTAGAAAAAAAAAAAATCACAAAACATTGTTGAAGGACATGAAAGAAGCCCTAAACAAATATTATCATATTTTTGGATTGGATGGATAAATATTATTAACATTATTAATTCTCCCAAATTAATTAATAAATTAATATGATTATGAATCGAATCATTTTTGTGGAACTATACAAGCTAATCCTGCTATTTATTCGGAGACCAAAAGGCCAAGAACAAATCAAGATAATTTTGAACAAGAACAAGCACTTGAACATATTAAACATCAACACTTTCTTTTCCTATAGTAATTAAGATTGTTGTGCCATACAGGGATATAAAAATAGACCAATGAAATATGCTATAGAGATCAGAAACAAATACATGTATTTGATACATGTAGGAGTTAGGTTATAAATCAATAAGACAAGGAATTAAGCCATAAAAATGTTCTGAATAAATAGCTATTCACATGGAAAGTAGATAAAATTGGATCTATGCCTTATGTAATTCACAAAGATTATTCCAGTAAGAGTAAAGAGTAAGGAAGGATTTCTTAAACAAGACACAATGAAGCACCACTAAAAGGGAAAGGTTGATATATTGTATTACATTTCACTTGAACACCTCTGTAAAACAAAAAGACATCATAAACAAAGTTAAAACCCAAGGCACAACCAGTTAGTATTAGTTTCCAATGTATAAGAACTACAAATCAATAAGAAATAGACAATTCATTTTTAAAAATGGTCAAACAGCAATTCACAGAAGAGGAAATCCAAAAGCTCAATAATGAAATGAGAAGGTGAGCAAACTCAGCGACTGTTCAAGTAGAGATAAAAAAAAAAAAAAAAGGCTGATTATGAAAGTGTTGGCAAGGCACGAAGAGACTAGAATTCTCATAGACTGCTGGCAGAAGTATAAATTGTTAGCAGCCTTTTTTGACATCATTCTGTCAACATTTAGGTAACTTGAAAATGAAGACACTTTCTGATCCAGCTATTCTAGTCCTAGATAAATACCCTAGAGAAACTCTAGCTCATGGACACTGTGTATAAGCACGTTTATAGCAGCAGTCTATGTAACAGAATAAAAGAAAACAACTAGATTTTCATCAACTGCAGAATGAATATTTTACATTATATCTCTACATGAATGACGTAGAACAAAACTTAATGAATCACAAAACCATACATATAGCTGAGTAAAAAAAAAAAAAACAAGTTGCAGAAAAATAATCTGTACGGTCTGACTTTTAATAATCTTTGAACACTTGGAAAGCTAATCTGTATAATTTTTAAAGAGGCATAAAGTTGTAAAAATGACATGAATGTAAAGTGATCAGCAATGCATTATTAAAATTATTTTGTGAAAAGAAACAAGGGAGGGAAATGAGATTAGGGAAATTTTTCGACGAATATCACTTTTATCTATAAATTTAATTTGAAAACGGGTGCCTGGGTGGCTCAGTTGGTTAAGCGACTGCCTTCGGCTCAGGTCATGATCCCGGAGTCCCGGGATCGAGTCCCGCATCGGGCTCCCTGCTCGGCGGGGAGTCTGCTTCTCCCTCTAACCCTACCCCCTCTTGCGCTCTCTCTCTCACTCTCTCTCTCTCTCAAATAAATAAATAAAATCTTTTAAAAAATTTTAATTTGAAAACATCTAAAGCAAATAGGGCATAACGTTAAAATTTCGTAAAGTTGAGTGATGTGTACATAGGTGTTTATCATACTGTTTTGTGTTCTGTCTGAATGTTTGAAATATTTCACATTAAAGTACAAGGGGTAGGCTGTGCTATTTAAATCTTTGTGATGTATAGAGTTAACAGTACAGCAAGTATTAGTTATATGATAATATTTATTATATGAATAACAAATGTTATTAAATGGTGAGAACAAATAGAAGAAACTATGTGTTCAGCAGGCCAGGATTAAAAAAAAAAAAAGAGCCACCCTCTGGATCTTCTTACAGACACTAACCCAGGCACAGTCGTTAAATAATGCCAACCAAAGACAATACGTTGGTAGACACATACAGCACATGACCCGCAAAGCTGTTTCCGTTAAGATAAGTATATACTGAAAGATCGAATGTCAAATCATAGAGCCCAGGTTACACGACGTGTTTGGAGTTGTGTTCTGTTTGGAGAATCTTCCCTTGAATGAACAATACTACGAGGCATTGCTGCATCTGGTGAGGAAACAACTTTAAAAGAATTCTCAGATTCCTCTATGTCCTGATGTTCTCTCTCAGGTATACGGATGAGGGTCACGCAGGGACAAACCTTGGTGGACTGCTTGCACTCTAGGAAAGAGAGGATTCCTAGGGAAAAGAGAAGGTGATGAAGGAACAACGGAGAGTCCCAAAACATGTCCCTCTGTGTCAGGAGAGAGACCCCTACCCAAAGCCCACTGGGTCCCTTTGAACTGCCTCAAACCACTGGGGAGGGGGAGACTTTAGTGGAAGAGATGAGAAGCATATGCAAAATAGCTTAAATGCACCATCAAGAGCACCGAAGACTCATTTTGAAAGGAGATGTGCTTCTAAGTTTGCAAGTGCGATTCCAAACAAAATTTTAAATACTTTTAAGAAAAGGAGAGTCTCCAGTGTGGGCACGTGGCCTCTTAACATCAGAAATTGCTTGTCTCTGACCTCAAAGTGCCTCAGCACCACACTGGACACCTGTCCCTCTCCACATTAGTAAGCATTCCATATCAGCCACTCTCCTTAGTCATGACTTTGATGGTTTTCTCTGTCCTGAAGTGGGGAGGGGGTGAAAGACTGTAGAAATGGCAGAAATGAGAGCTGACCTTGGAGCAAGCTTATTGAACATTTCACACAACCCTAATCTCCAACTCTACCCTTGGAAGAACTGTCCTCAGAGAGTGAGTCCACTTGAACTTTAGCCTTTAATACGCAAGGGTTGGTACATTTTCCCCTTGCCCCTTTCCCATCCTTTTTTCCTCTCCTCTCTATCAGGGATGGACTGATTCTTATCACCCATCAGGGGCCCTGAATATACTCACCAGAGGCCATAAAGAGGCAAACGCTTAAGTAGGCAATGAAAAGGATCCAGGTGATTTTGTAACTAGAGTAGTACACGGATTGACCTTGCTTTAGCTTTTGCTGATACAGGAGGAGTGCACAGAGCAGAAGGATACCTTTTGTCCAGACAAAAGGAGAAAAAAGTCCCTTCTGAGGAACTTTGGCTCTTCTACTCAAGCCTTAACCCAAGATATGCCTGACTTCCAAGCCTCCACCCTGTCCACCTGCACCTTGTCCAAAAACCAATCCCCCTCAGTGGTAGATCCAATTCAGAAGCTGCATCTCTGAGCCAAAAAACTAGGAAGGCTGCAGCCTGGACCCATAAACCAAGTCTTTCTCCAAGCCTGTGTCAGGGGAACCAGGAAGTTACCTGTGAAGAAACTGAGGAAGACAGTGATGAAGAAGATGTGTTTAGTTTGAGGAATCAGATAAGTGAATTCCAAACCCAGGAGCAAGTTATGGAAGAAGGAAAGGCTGAGAACCAAAATCATCATGATCCTGACCACTTCCAGGCCATCTGTTGGAAAGCAGAAGCTGTGTTGAGAGAAGGACAGAGATTTCTTCTAGGCTCATTTCCACCTGAGGACCACAAATCTCTAGGTAAAAATTAGAATGAGGTAAAAAGATTTGATTAAATAATAAAGAGGGACAAGGGGAAAAAATAAAGAGGCAGGGAGCCTTAAGCTGAATGGGAGAGAACCAGAGGAAACTGCTCTCTCTTTTGGTGTCTCTATAAGCTTCTTTTTCTTCTATTCTTTTCTCAGAACAGATTTCTTGTTCAGTGCAATTCATCCTGTCCTCCTCTAGTGGCAATACAAGATATTTTCCTTGTTGCCAATGACCTTTCTTTTATGCCCTCATGTTCTAGATGCGCTGATTACCCTGCTGCTCCTGCCAACACTTCTCAGATGTTCAGCAATTAAGTCTATGACCTTCTAAACTTTTCCCCAAGATATGCAAAATGGTGAGACTGAGAGTCAGCCTTGACCATTGATTATGGAACTGGGCACAGTGCAGCCCAAGGAAATTGCCCCAGAGAACAATGAGTAAGCTGGTGAGATAAATGGAAGTCAAGGAAAGAGGAACCCTCCCTCTCCACCCATCTCTTTCCATAGTGTAGTTCTGACCTTCTGGCCAAAGAGGGGTGCAACATATCCAGGGATTGTGGCTTATTGTATTTTTCTTTGTTTCCCATGTCAGTTCAACCCATTCTTCTATGAGGATTCCTATCGTCATGAAGACTAAGGCCCAGGAGGAGGAGAACATGTTGAGGGCCTGGATACTTCTGAGTGATGCATTCACCATGGCGAGTGGGGGGTTCAAGCTGAGACAACCAGCAATATCTCACATGGCTCTTCTCTGATTTGGCTACTTCTTCACAGGAGGACAAGCAAAGTCTAAACTCTTAGTGATTGCAGAGGCATTGGACGTGGTGGGGCTGAAGTAACCTATGGAACAGAGAAGATAAATCCTACTCCCTGCTGCTCCTCTATCTGGGCCGGCCTGCTGTCAGGGCTGCCAACTGCCATGGAATCATCTCTTAGCTTGACCCTTGACCCTGGTGACTAGCGCAGTGGAAGGACCAAGGAGACTACAGGTCCTGAGAGAACTACCCTTTATAAAGAGAGATATATCACATATTAGAGCTGCCAGACATAGCAATAACTAGAAACCTTGAAAAAAGTTAAACATGCCTGACTGAAGAGGCCCAGTTTTAGAGCGAGGGATCAATGAAGAGCAGAAGGAATTCAAGATCATTGAAGGAGTAGTCAGCCAGGTAGCCTTGCAAAAGGGAATGACCACTCAAAATTTAGGATGTTTTGGAGAAATTTGTGTCCTCATTTGGAGAGCCTAAAGAAGTTTCGTTAAGCAGGCATCTGGGAAATGGACCAGCACCTTGAAACTACAAGAAATGACTTGATACACTGAAGCATTGCAGTCAAATATCATGTATAAGGCACAATTATTTTTTGACAATTGCCTTTGTAACTTGGCAGAGAAAACATTTATGGATTCCTTGAGTAGGCAACCATGGTATACAGTAAGCTCAGAGTCAGGGGACTTGTATTAAAGTCCCAAAAAAGGTTTTTACTGAACTAAGATGAAAGTCATATCTAACAGCCTCTTTCTGCCTATTTCTTTGACCTTATTGCAGGCCCCTTTCCATGGGCCAAACTGGATTTCTTTCATTGCCTCAAATATGCTGTGCTGTCTTTCTTCTAGACCTCTGTACGTATCTTAGTATATTGTATTTTAAAAACTTTTTAAAGCGGCGCACCTGGGTGGCTCAGTCGTTAAGCGTCTGCCTTCGGCTCAGGTCATGATCCCGCAGTCCTGGGATCCAGCCCCTCATCGGGCTCCCTGCTCTGCGGGAAGCCTGCTTCTCTCTCTCCCACTCCCCCTGCTTGTGTTCCCTCTCTCGCTATCTCGCTCTCTCTGTCAAATAAATAAATAAAATCTTTAAAAAAAAATTAAAAAAATAAAAACTTTTTAAAGCGATGCTCAATATATTTAATCTTACAAGAGAGACTTTGTAGTTAAGAAAATGGATTCAAGGGGCACGTGGGTGACTCAGTCGGTTGAGTGGCCAACTCTTGATTTCAGCTCAGGTCCTGATCTCAGGGTTGTGAGATCAAGCCCCGAGTGGGACTCCATGCTCAGCAGGGAATCTGCTTGAGATTCTCTCTCCCTCTCCCTCTACCCCTCTGCTCACGTTCTAGCTCTCTGTCTCTAAAAAAAGAAAAAAAAAAAAAGGAAAGAAAGAAAGAAAAGAAAATGGACTCACAATCCTGGCTTTAAATCCTGGCTCTACCACTGAGCAGCTTTGTGATCTTTTTTTTTTTTTTTAAGATTTTATTTATTTGACAGAGAGAGACACAGCGAGAGAGGGAACACAAGCAGAGGGAGTGGGAGAGGGAGAAGCAAGCTTCCCACCAAGCAGGGAGCCCAATGTGGGGCTCGATCCCAGGACTCTGGGATCATGACCTGAGCTGAAGGCAGACACTTAACGACTAAGCCACTCAGGTGCCCCAGCTTTGTGATCTTAAAGATAAGAATCCTTCCTACTACGTAAGAATTTTGTAAAGATTACATGAGTTTAGAGATGCAAAGCACTTAAAAAGAGTTCTCACCACATGACAAATGATATGTATGCAATTACGCAAGTATTAATTTGGACTCCCTGGGACAGCGACTCTTAGACAGAGAATTGTATGTGGAGAGTTTATTGGTGAGTATGTCCAGCAGTCACACCTGCCAGTGTTTGAGGGAAACAGATTTGAACAGAAGTTGAACTGAGATGTAGTTGCAACAAAAGAAACATTAGACAACCCCACCAGGAGCTCCAGATCTGGAGCAATCTTGAATGGAGCAAGAGAGCTCAGTTTGCTGTGGAATGCAGGCTGTCCCTGGGCTAGTATCTCCCTTCTGTGTCCAGGACAATTCCTTTCTCTCTCAGAAACTGCAAGCCTCAGTAGCCATCACTTCTGGTAGTCATGGGAATGAGCTCCCACCCTTGCCCACTCCGTATCAGAGCCCTGTTGCTGTGAGGGCTGCCAACTGCCATGGAATCACCTATTGGTTTGACCTTTGACCCTTGGGGACTAGTGTAGCAGAAGGACCGAGAGAGTAAAAGCATGCCACGACAATTTATATTATTGCATTCTTATATATTGATGCTTTTATATCTACGCAACAGGTCCTTAAGAGTAGGATTCAGGGCTGAAAGATTTATGTCTCCTTTAAACTTTAATAGATAAAGACACAAAGATATAAAGATGTAGCCAGATTAGAGAAACTGGTGGGATGTGAGGGATTCATGAGAGACAGGTCAAAGAAGAAATCATGTTTCCAGCTAGGGAGAACAGTAGTCCATGATGCCGTTAAGTAAGATATAAAATATGGTCAGAATCACAAGCCTGGTGAGGAAGAAGCTAGTAAGTAAATACTGGTTTGGGTTCAGTTTAAGGTATCTACAGCCCATATAATAGACAGAACTTAGTTCTGGAACTTGACGACCCATTAGGGGTTATCAGCCTGGGGATGGCAGTTGAAACATAGGTGTGCATATCCCCGTGTAAGGATGTGACAAGAGGTAGAGAAGAAAATTCTGGAGAGGGGTGCCCAGGTGGCTCGGTGGGTTGAAATGAGGAATGAAAATGATAACCCTCTAATAAATCAGATTAAGAAGAAGTGGGGAGGGAGGCGGAGGAAGTAAATGTACAGGGGAAAAAAATCAATCCTTATCTTTTTGTGACACAAACAAATATTTAAAGATGAAATTGTCCAGGATTGTTTCAGAATAATTCAGGGGATGATCACTGAAGCTGGATGAAGGCTACCGTGGGCATCATTATAATTTTCTCTAATTTTTCCAAATTGCCTATTTCCCTCTTGAAACTACAATTCTACTGTTCTTTTTCCCTTTTTGTTATAGATGTCATCTAGTTGCCATTAAAAATAAAACAACAACAAAAACTGTCTCTCTTCTACTTCCGCTCCTGTCCTCATTCTACTGAAAATGCTATGGCCCAAATCACCAATGACATTCTGATTATCAATAAAGTGACATATGTTCAGCTTGCACCAAATCTTATTTCCTTATAGCATCAGGTATCATTGCCCAATGTCTCTTCGAAACTCTAGCCTCTTTTTAATTCCTTAGCAACATTTGTATTTCTCTACCTTCTCTCTGATTCATCCTTCTTTGCTTTTTCTCATAAGTGCTAATGTTCTCCAGAATTTTCTTTTTTTTTAAGATCATTTATTTATTTATTTATTTACGAGAGAGAGCAGAACGAACGAGAGAGAACATGAGTTGGGGAGAGGGGCAGAGGGAAAGGGAGAAGCAGGCTCCCCACTGAGCAGGGAGCCTGATGTAGGGCTTCATCCCAGGACCCCGGGATCATGACCTGAGCCGAAGACAGACGCTTAACCAACTGAGCCATCCAGGTGCCCCTCGGGTCTCAGTCTTTAATAGAAACAAATCTTATAATACATATTACACATAAGAATAAATGTCTCCTTTCTGTCCTTCTGCTCCACTTCGTGCATACTTTTGGAATTATTTGTCACATAATGATAAAATATTGGGTATAGATGTGTATTTTTCCTAGGCCATAAGCTCCTAGAAGGCATATTTTTTGTCACTAATTGTATCCTCAGTGTCTAGAATAGTACCTGTCACACATTATACAAGATTTGTTGGAGAGATGAATTTCCACTATCCTAACATTGATTAGATATACCCGAGCATCCACCTTTCTCCACCCCAAAGTTCACTGGTAGGGGACATGTGAATAAAGTCCAAGATCTGACCTATGGTGTTAGAAAAGTATTGGAAAAGGAGAGCTTAGCTGTTTATGTTCTTCATCTCTACCCCAGATACATGATTTCTATGTATACAGCACCAGAGCATTTTATGTTTTACCCATTAGATGTTTTCTCCCCACAGTTAATACAAATGCTGTTTTTATTTCACCCACTTTGTCTTCTGTCCTCCATCTCAACCCCTTTACTGTGATTTTTACCATCATTTGGTTCTCTTGAGGGGGCAGAAACTCTGGGCTTTCTCCTGCAGGTTGTTGCTGCAGATGAAATGTAGTAGAGGGATCCAATGGTGACTGAATCCTCTCTAACCACAGATGTGTATTACAATGGTGTGTGATTCCTTTCTACCTCTCTAACTACAAGAGCAAATTAAAGACAGAGGTCTTGAAAAAGCAGAACTTTTTAGTCTCTATTGACTTAGAAACCGACAAAATTAGAAAATATCTTTGTGTTTTTGTTTTTTTTTTTTAAAGGGGTGCCTGAGTGGCTCAGTTGGTTAAGTGGCCAACTCTTGACTTTGGCTCAGGTCATGATCTTGGGGTCCTGAGGTCCAGCCCCACATTAGGCTCCATGCTCAGTGGGGAGTCTGCTTCAGGATTTTCTCTCTCTCTCGCTCTCCCTCTCCCTCTGCCCCTCCTTCACCCCCACTCACTCACTCTCTCTCTCCCTCTCTGTCTCAAATAAATAAATATTTTTTAAAAGGCAAAGAAAGACCTAAATTGTGAGAAACAAAGCATTTTGAACTATTATTAAAAAGAAAAGAAAAAAATCAAAAAAGAAGAAAAGAGAGCAACACATGAGGGAAATCCAAATCAAAACCTCAATGAGATACCACCTCACACCAGTCAGAATGGCTAAAATTAACAAGTCAGGAAACGACAGATGTTGGCGGGGATGCGGAGAAAGGGGAACCCTCCTACACTGTTGGTGGGAATGCAAGCTGGTGCAGCCACTCTGGAAAACTGTATGGAGGTTCC